TCCTAGCAGTTAACAATGATTCTAATGTATCAAAACACTTTAGACCTTAATCATATAGTGGGGCTTCTGCTTGTAGCTTTTGTTTGAGTTTTAATTAAGAAGACCTTGTGTCTCAAAGCCTGAGCTGGGTTTTTAATTGCTAGTATGTATATCACACAGACTTCAAAAGAAATAAAATATGTTTATAACAGAGAGCACAAAGGAGAGCTTTGAAATGTCTATAGCCATACAAAGTGACATAATTAAAAACCTCTGAGTGCCTCTGTGATATAAGACTTATATATATTTATTTTTACATATTTATGAGGCAGACTGTTATATACCCTTAGACTTCACGAGAAAGAATTTTCAGCAATTATACTGAAAAATAATTACTGCAAATTCAGACTACAGTGTAGATCAGGGATAAAGGAAAACAGATTTATTTTCTTTAAAACGGACTTCACATGTCGAATAGTGCAGCAAGAAACACCTGAAAGCTTATATGTGAAGATCAAATTTTATAAAATAGAAGCAAAAATAACATTTTAAAACGTTTTTCAAACCATGCATGTTAAAAAAAAAAATTAATTCACTGTAAAAACCATAACTTTCTCAAGGATTCATTCATGCACAACTCTTTCCAAGACTGCTCCAGAAATGGATAGTGTTAAGTTACCAGATTCAAACAGTTGTGCCTCACTGTCCTCTTCCACTCATTAATACACACAAAAAATGCTCCTAGAAAACACGTCCTTGTGCCTYTCCTGTTCTTATACCAGGGATGGGCATCCTTTCCAAAATGGTTTGTGGATATCTTACAAGGAGACTATCAAGTGGGTGAAGTTGCTTCATCATACCAAATTCAACTTTTCCTAGGAAACAGGAATGYTGCCTCCCACCTGCCTAAACATTTTGAGGCCGTTAAACCAGCACACATTGCACAAAACGGGGYGTTTAGTCTCTTACTAATAAAGCAGCAAATATAAAAGAAGGGATAAGCACGGGGAGCATAATAGAAACAGCCTTCTGTGTTGGGTAAAGCTCTGGACATCAATCAGTGCCCAAAATAGAGCTACTGTACAAAGGCAGCATGTGACATTTGATCACAATGCCTATAAATATAGAGAGCTCCAGTTGTAAACAGCCCCGATGGAAGGGCAGGACTAACCTGCAACACAGGAGCTGGTGACCCAGGAGTCACTCTCCTCTGAGGCTGCTGGACCAATTGTGACCCTTTCACCATAACATCATTGCTTAAGTTACTTGAAGAYTGACCTCTCTTATTTGATCTTCAAAGACTCTGCATGCTGAGAAAGACCATTGCGGGCTATTTCAGTAGGACAACTGCCTGATGCATGCAAGACCGTGCTATTCCAGAGATTTATATTTGGAACAGAAACAGAAAACTTAAAACAGACTCTGTATAGTGATAAATGATGCTACTCTGCCTAGCTGTGGCTGCTGAAGAAAAACTAGATAACCAAGCAACAGAAATGCATGCAGTGAGGGAGGGTGAGGTTGGAACTCTGCACATCCAAATATCTGCAAATAAAGAGCCCTGCCTCATTTTGTTTATTCAAATACGTAATAACAACAATTAGAATGAAAAGTATTTCCTGGTCCTAATTTTTATACAAAAGAGACTAAATACTGCAAAAGCCAGATGTAAGCCTAACAAATTGCTTGTATACCTTAAGTAAATCTATTAGCATGCACACCCTGGAAAATAGCATATAAGCAAATGATTTGCACAGGCAGCTCCAGGGTTTTTTTTCCAGGTGAGCAAGGTATTTAACTCAGGTCAACTGCTTCAAAGACCTTTGACAATTTGACCTATGTGTTTCATTTATAAACATATGAAATGAGCAAGCAGACTTATTTAACCACTGGAATTTGGCTACAAAGCATTYGGCCAGATTCTCCCCAGCTTCATGCAACCTCCCTGAAGTCAATGGCTTGTTTGGCTGGAATTCAAGGAAGAATCTGGACCATTATCAATAACTGAAATCCTAATAAAGAAACTCAGAAAAAGCAATTTTACAAGTGAAGAACACTATGCAAAAGTAATTGTGAACATGAACAATCCCACACTGAGAAAAAATGAATTATTCACTGTTTGTTACTTTTGTATTGGCCTCTATTGTTTGAATTAATAGATATGGTTTATAATTATATCTTGATTAACACTATTGTGTTCTAAATATAGAAGGTAAAGCAAGAAAATACCGTTTTTATTTGTTTCTCTCAGCCAATTATCTTTTCTTCTTGTCTGTGTGCTTCCCAAACATGAATAGAAACAGTTTGTGTCAGTGGTACATTTTTTTTTCTGCTTTCATCCTCTTTTCTGGCACTGAATCTTAGTGAATTGCCTTCCCACAACCAAGATGCAAGTCTTTCACTGAAGGGGGAGGGCTGTGGTCGTGCAGACACAGAGGAAGAATACGTGCTCAGGTTATCCTTAGTGAGAACAACGCCTCCTCTCTAAAATAAACAACTCCCAGTAACAGTCGGTGCAAAGAGCAGTTCCTCACAAGACCACACCTTGTTTTCCTACAATCAAGATTATTTTTTTTCCTAATGAATTATTTTTTTACTGCATCACTTCATGTCTTTAAGTTAGGCTYCCAGTAATATGAGCAGAAATTCTGCACAAGAGCAATGAAATAAAATTTAGAATCTATTTAGAATTAAGGAAAAATATGTTTGACCTCCCAAAGACGACAGATTTTCAAATATAGGTCCTTCAGACCCCAGAATGCCCTGCCAGTTACCTTGCTGGAAATTCAATCAGCAGTATGCAAATAAACTTCATGATTGTGAAATCTACCACCTTGAAGAAGGAAAGGATTTATTTTAAAGTATGCTTCCCCTGTTTTGTTTTGTTTCCTTCTTGTAATCTGTTTTTCATGCTGCCATGTGCTAGATTGCTGATTTGTTTGTGGGTGGTTTTTTTTTTTTCCCTTTCTGAGCTGATTTAAGGTACACAAATGCTAATATGAGTTAAGACCAGACTATAGGGTTAATAGTGGTTTTATTGGCTAGAAGGTAATCAGCCTGGAAAACAGCAGTTGGGTTTGGGAACCCTAAGGAAAGGATTCCAACTTCAGACCTGCCCCYACTCCAGCTATGTAACTCTGCACCTGGTTTTCTTCTTCTATAAAACAACKCTAATATCTGTCAATTGGTCTGAAGTGTAAAGCACAATATAACAGCAACCATTATTTATATTCCATGTTGATTCTTTAAAAAAAAAAAAAAATCAGCTGCAGTAGCAAAGATTCATTATTGCTGGRAGCCAACTAGTAGCACGGATGAATATTGCAGATATTATGATCACCTAAGGAAAGSTTACACAGGAAATGGGCTGTGGAGACTGAGTGGCTGTCCACATATAAATCTGGGGACCCTATTCTGATGAACYTTTTTATACAACTATTCCCCCAGAAAAGATTGTTGAATGAGTTGAAAATTCTTCCAAATCTGAGTGAGAGTGCTTTGTAGGTAGATGAGAAAAGGATTAGAGGCAAGAACTCTACCCACTCACTCAGCAGAGAACATATATGCTAAGAAAATAGGAGGAACAACACAAATCCAGAAAAACAAACCTTTTTTTTTTCAACTAACAAAATGTCATTAGAAAGCTTTTTGTGCCATGCAAAAGAATAAAGAACATTATTCCGCATTGTTAGAGATCCCACCTCTTCTAAATTCAATTCGCTAATAGCATTCAAGTATTTTCTATTTAAAGACTAAGTAGCTATATTTTGCAATTAATGGACCATAATAATTCAACTAGAATTCAATGTTTTCCACACTGTTAAGAGACAATATGGCTTTAAATAGATTCTGATTTCAAAGCATCCTTTTTTTTTATTTTATTGCAGTCAATTTTAACATGTTCCTGCAAAATTTTATGCTGTGTTTCTGTCACTGATATTACTGTGGGATTTYTTACCTGCCTAACATATATGCATTGTCATAATTCTACCAGAAAAATCAGGAGAATCCAACAGATTTTTGGTCCTGAAGGAACCAATTATATCTTACTTACTAAAAAGAGCCCATCTCTCATCTAYGTGTATAATAAAAAATATAAATTGAACTATCTTGGATTTCCCAGTGGAAATTTAAATCCCTAAGCATCAATTTTCATCAAATAGATTTTTTTTTTTTTTGCATTGAAGAATTTTAGAGAAAAGACACATTGATATGATGAACCTGGCTCTTTGTTTCCAAATGACGAGAAATAAATCTTGTGTACTCCTCAAACATGCTTTATGACCCCTTCTAACAACACAAAACCCCCACATTTTAAATTTGTTGTTTAATCAATAACACTGAATTTCTTATCATTGAGAAAATGCATGGAAGAATTGATGGGTGGGGAAAAACACTTCATGATTTCTACACAGTACTTAACTGTCAGGAGAATTCCAYTTTTCCTAGGTTGCTGGCTCAAGGAATCATGAAAATACTGGAAGTTATTGTCCACTTATACAACAAAATTGCACTGATTTTGGCAAGTCCCAAATTTTATCCARACCTGCTCTTTCTCTGCATGATGGGATTAAGAGAAACAATTTTTCTTTTTTTTCCCAATTTAAAATCAAATATTTAAGACAGCAATCACACAATTACCCCCTTTTATAATCTGAAAGCTGTTCTTACACCCAGTTTGTGCAACTGGGAAGAAGCAGTACCAAGTACTGGCAACCCCATGTTTCTTCCTGTTCCTCTGCTCAGAGATATATGGCTGATGTCAGTGAACTAATGTAACTAACCTGGTGCTTTGTGATAACATCCTTGATGCTGCCTATAACTGATTGTGACACGCTCCATTTTTTTGGCACCCTCATCCATCATTTCAAAGATAAACATTAAAAACCAGGGTGTGTTGACTGGAAAGAAAGGCATCCTCTAGTTGTGATAGCTATTAATTTTTTTCTGAATTTTCAAAAATCCTCAATCCCCTTCTTAAAATATATGCAAACATTTAAGAAGTTGATCTAGTGAGATACCTTTAATTTCTCCAAGGAGATCGCTTGTGTTTAATTTTTCCATCTTCTCCTTCCAGTCTTTAGAAAGTAGCTTTTCCATGCAGGATGAATCTATTAAAAATAAAAATTAAAAAAAAAATCAAACATATTCTTACAGGGAAACAGGTGCCACCTTCATTTTAAAACTGTTCTCCCTGTACCAGTTGAATCATAGTTTAGAAAGGAAATCAACTTGCAGCAGAACAGAATTCTTATTTAACTGCATTTTAAATCCAAAGTAATTCCCCTGAGGTTAATGGAATTACTATGGATTTAACAAGGGTCTAATTGAAAGAAAAACTTCGTTGAGGATTTATGCATGCTAACTGCCAATTTACATGCATAGATTGCCAATGTATATACGAATTCTGTCTTTTTCATTTGAGAATGATTGTACACTTGAAATTATACATGAAGATTTAGTAGCTTTTTTTGGAAATTTGGCACACAGTGACATCTGAAACCCATTTTTATACCCATGTCAATGCAAAAGTTATTCATATGATGTCTCCATGGAATTCATAAAAGCACTCTACATATTCGATGTTCACAGYATCAGAAATTTTCTCAGTACACTATAAACAACATGCAATGATTAGAAGATAGGCTCTCGTCATATGAACTTCAGAATACATTTCAAGTCTTTGCCCCAGTCTGGGAGGTCTTCTGTAGGCAAAACTGTCAGTGAAGTCATTACACTTTGGAGAAAGTAAAAGATTGGCCCCAGTAAGTTTCTTATGATCAGACCCCAATTCCACTACAAAATTTTATATTGAGCGTAACAGACTTCAATAAATTCTAAAGTTTTTTTTCCATTCCTAAATTAAACTAATTGGCCCTGAAATCTAAATTATAAATAATCTTGCAGATACCTACAAAAGGTGATTTTTAAGATAGGAATTCTCATGAAGGAAGCCTCCAAGACTACAAATTCTCCTGGAGGGAGCCTACAAGAAAGATGGAGACTGTTTACAAGAGCATTTTAGTGACACATCAAGGGGGAATGACTTCAAATTGAAGGAGACTAGATAGTAGAAAAATTAGTGTAGCTACTAGGAAAAATTTCTTTACTGTGAGGGTAGTGAGGCACTGGAATGGGTTGCCAAGGCTGTGGCAACCCCATCTCTGSCAGTGTCAAGGCCAGGCTGGGWGGGGCTCTGAGCAGCCTGGGATAGTCAAAGATGTCCCTGCCCATGGCAGGGGAGTTGGAGTAAGATCATCTTTAAGGTCCTTTCTGACCCAGGCCATTCTGTGGTTCTGTGGTTGATGTGATGTGGATTTTTGTGACTTTTAACAAGCACAGTTACAATTTCTAAACAAGTATGAAGAAAACTTTACAAACAACTGAACACTTATTTCTCGTCCCCAGTCAGCAATAATAGAACCTCTATTAAATTTTGTGTACTTACTCTCACCTGAAGGCAGACTCACCAGCAATGTCTGTGCTAAATTCCTTGGAAACCCATAGGCCCAGTTTGCAAAAATCAAAACCATTATCTACATGTAACCCTGTTCTCAAAACAAATCTTTTCAAAGGGCCTTCACTGTAAGATCACACACCTCTCTGGGTGGGGCTGAGCACACTTTTCCTTAATGCACACCCTGGAAACAGCCACACACCTTCTCTTCCTAGCAACTCGCCTAGCAAGGGGCTACTTGCCTCAGAAGACCAATTTACACAATTCTAATATTCCAAATTTAGGTTATTTTTATACTGGTCCTACTCCAGCCACTTAGGAATTAACATTGGGTTGTATGAGAAGGCAGAATTCAGTCTAACTTAACTTCTGCTAAATTACTGGCAGATTAAGGTCAAATTGCAGCTGAAATTCTCATTTCAGCAGTCCCAGCAGAAGCACTCACACATGTGAAAGCAAAAGCAAAAAAGCCCAGATTTAAGAATGGCAACAGAGATCATATCATCACAACGGGTAACAGTTTGTTCCACTTCAGAGGATTCCAAAAATACTCAGAGGGAGGGGACCCATTCAAAGAGGTCACAAAAGGAGGAGTTAAAGATTTAGGCAGAAGTTTGAAGAAGAAAAAGGTCATATGGCCAATCATATTTTAGGGTACAAGTCATTTCATCCTAAAAATTCATTAGCATAACTCATTTGACATAAACAAACAAACAAAAACCCCAAACAAAACAAAAACCAGTTGAAAGCAAACCAAACTGTAACTACCAAAAGATCAAAGATCAGGTTTTAATTGCAACACATTTTCACCGTGCAAGCCTCCATGGAAAGACAACACAGCTCATAAATATTTTTGAAGTAATATTTCAGCAGAAAAGCTAATTTATTTACTAATTATATCTTTCTGTGAAAGAGACAAAATTAAGGAGCTGTAAGTTGCAATAGGCAGTGTTAAAATACTGGTTACATAATAACAATTTACTTTTAACAATAACAGGCACTTATTACTTCTATGAGTTCTGGCCTGATAATAGGAGAATCAAGAAATAACCATCAATTATCAATAGAACATTATAATTTGTCCTTTTTTGTGATATGATTAGTTTAAAAAGACGTGACTGTGTTTCTCCCCTGCCAAAATTTCAGACCCCTCAACCCTGAAAAATGAAAGAGCTTTAGAATTTTATTTTGATGTTTGCTATAACTTACRTATTCTACTGCTTTTAACTAAGATGCTTTCCTTAATTCACACAACGAAAAAAAAAATCAGTTAAAAAAGGAAAAGAAGAAGTAACTGGCATATTACAGGAGTTGATAAAATACTTTCCTCAAAAGAACTTGTTTTATTTCTTCTCTCACTGTTCCTAAGAACACCCATGCTTATCTGTAGTGTTCTTATATTATGTAAGGGCAAAACATGTATTTTTAAAGAGAGACTGGGAAAGAACTGGATTGGAAAACAGGTCTATTTGTGTGCCTTTTTGATTTAATCACATTGCTAGCTAGAATTTTTATCTCTACAAATGACTGTAGAATTTCTTAAGAAAGAGTTCTTTTAACACCCTTATCTCATTCAAATTCTATGTTCTAGATCTGACCACATAATTTATAGCTACTGTATTTTGCTGTTGAGAAGATTACAAAAATGATTACACAGGAGCCTTTTAATAAACTTTTTTATAGCATTGTAAAAGTAGCTCTCTTGAAATCCTGTAAATTTTCAATTACCGTGTTTATTCTGCATAATTTTTCAAATTTAAAATAATKATATGTGTTAAAGCTCTCTAGAGGTCCTCCACATTAGACCCTACACTGAATATAAAGGCTTATACTTGAAAGGCATGTCTCCCTTCAACTTCTGTATTCCATGCTCACAAACACACATTTTGAAAAGGTTTGTGAATCAGAAAGGGGTTTTTCTTCTTTCTGTACTGAAAATTAATTTTTACAGACATATAAGATCTACAGAGATATCTCCTGACATCAGTAAAATGTCTCCATCCATATTGATTCATTTTCTGATTTGATTCATTACGGAAACAAAACATCGACTTGGAATCCAGCACTAAACATTGCAGAAAGGAGCCCAAATTCACATCTGCACTGCATCACTCTCCTGCACTGCTTCAGCACCATTCCAAAACCTTGTRCATCCCGACATTTTCAAAATTCAGGGGTATTCTTGCTCAAGACAATTATAAATGAAGCAATGAAAGAAAATTAGCATTTATACATTTTTAGCTCTTCTCACTGACTCTATAAACCACAGTTAGGCTTATGCCGCAAAGTAGCATATTTTCTACTGGCACATGTAAGATCAAACTCGTGAAGTTGCGCTGGAGCAATTTATTCTATTAAAAAACACACAGCTTCTCTGCCTTTATATTTTTCTCGTGTGAAYTAAGAAAAAATTTCCTTCAAGGACAGCAAACAGGTTAAGTATAATTATGATGACTAAATTAAATCACTGAGTATTATTTAATATCACGGTTTGTTACATAGTTAGCAATTTTAATTGTAAACTAAAGGAGTTTAAAGTACTGTGAGAATCTTGTTAGACATGACAGTTTTGCAAAGGTGAATGAGAAGAGGATGTTAAAAGATATATAATCAGGAAGAAAAAAAAAAAGCCGAGGGAAAAAAAACCTTAGGTGTTAGATGAAAAGGATCTCTTCACAATGACAAAGCATCAATGAARAGAATTAACATTTGTCCGTTGGGTAATCAATCAGTCATGGAATGGATGGAATCCAGCTCTTTGTTGCACGGCCGGTGATGAAGAACGAGCATGTAAGCTATCACGGCCAAGCTCTCAAGTTCTTCTGACTGAATGAAAGTCATCTTGTTTGAATCAGGACTAGCTTTTGCTTCTTGTCTCATCTTATTCTCCCCTTTCTTCAGCTTTTTCCCCCCCCTTTAATTTCACTCTTACATTCTTCAACAAGTTACTCACCCCAGCTATAGCTTACATGAATACTATATGACCTTACAGTGGCCTGCACCTATCCTCATCGATTTTGGGGGGTTGTTCCTTTTTTTTTTTTCCCCTCTTAATTCACTGAGCTGGCCTCCTATTACTTTCTTTGAAATACAGATTAAAAAAAAAAAAAACAAGACGTTCATGCCATGTGTGAGTTTTTGTTTTTTTTATGGTAAAGTCATACATAAAAGAAAACCTAAATGTGAGAGTGCAGCAGCAAAACTTCAAAGCACTGACTGTCAGACATTATTATTTCAAATCAGCTTTGACTTTTTGAGACTTAATAAAACACTATAGTACAGACTGGCATATTTATAACACCTATACCAGTGATCAACTGAACTGTCTTATTCTTTCTAGTGTGCAGTGCCTTGTTATTTCTTTTATAATAAGCTTCCCTCAAAACATGTAACAATACTGCAAACTGATAATTATTAATGATATGAGTTCTAAAACATGACTTGTTTTGCATACAATTCTTTTTGAATACACACATTACTTTGTGACAGAAGACAAAAGCACATTGATTTATTAATAATGATTGCAAATGCACAGCAAGTTCATAAACAATACAGAAATATAATCCAATCAAAGGTATAGAGGTATAGGTGACATATTTCTACGTTCATCTGAACTGTTACATCTCAAGGAAAAAGGCACTGGAAAAGACAAGG